CTCTCCAAGGACTGGTCCCTCCTTACAACATGTCCAAAGTATGTTAGACGAAGCTTCAGAATCCTTGCCTCCGAGGAGCATGGACTTACCTGTGGTCAATCAGAATCAGGATCCAGTGTGACTGGCTTGCAGTCAGGAAGTGCATGTGGTCCGGTCATTCCACAGTGTTCTGGAACACTGGAAGTCAGAGGGGTAAGAGACCCTGGACAGTGGCAGGAAGAGGTGTTCTGAGGTGGACTTAAACCGAACCTGAGTCTGTTTGGTTTGAGCCCAAACACGCTTGCCAGGGGCTGGGGAAAGCTGTTCTGAGGGCACAGACAGGAGCCCTGGGGACTTGCCATGCTCCCCGAGTTTTGCCTTTGGGATCCAGGACATTTTCTTGAGCCCAATCTGGCTCCTAGAGACCGGGTAGGACAGAGAACTGCCCTGAGGTTTCTAGAGCCAGCTGTAACTCTTTACAGACGCTGAGCACCTCATCTTTCTCCTGAAGATCAGCTGGCAGGCCCTGCTGCTTCTAACAGCTGAGGCTCTTAATCACTAGGTTAAGATAACAGGACTCACAGAACTCCTGGGCTTGGGAAGGCAGGTCTGGGGGCACACAGGGGGAGACGTGGGTGACTTCCATACCTTTCAGAGCTCAGGGGAGACTGCCTTTGGAATGAGACGTTTCCTTGAATCACCCTGAAAGTTTTTGGTTACCCTCCTGTGAATGGGGTTGCTTTGATAGCATCTCAAGGGGCCTGCTGAGGGCCAGTTCCCAGGCTGCTGGGTCTCTTGCCTGGAAAACTGCCAGTCCTGTGGGCGCTATATTGTTTTGTGCCACTGAGTAAGAACTGACTCATGGTTGATCCTCCAGTGGGTTTTCGGAGGCAATAAATCACATGGGAAGAGACTGCTTTCTCTCCTTCAATGAAGTAACTGGTGGATTTGAACTATGTGCCTTTGTGATTGCAGCCCAGCTTCTTATCACTAGGTCACCAGAGCTTCCACAGTAGAATCTATAGGACCCCTCATTTATGAAGGAGGGGGGTGTTGTCTGGATTTAGAGTCCTTAATCAGTTGTTACTGAGTCAATTCTGAATCTTAGCACCACGTGGGGCTCTACTGGCCTCATCTTGTTAATTCAAAGGCACGTGGCTTTGTCCTGTTAACCCAAAGGCAATCCGTCTTTGGTGGTTCGAATCCACCAGCTGCTCCAGGGGACAAAGGTGGGCAGTCTCCTCCTGTGTGATTCTCAAGCCTCCAAAAACCCACTAGAGCAAGCGAGGAGTTGGTCCAGACTTAAACACCATGAGGTGAGGTGGCAGTACTGCCCCTGTGGTCCCGGTGCTGTAATCTAGAAAGATGCTACGAGCTGCCCACCTCATTTCCCCCACACTGCGGCAAATAGATTTGTACCACTAACTTCTCGCTTAGCAGCTCAACTCTTCCAAGGCTGTGCCACCAGGACATACGTTGTTGGGTGGATACTGTCGAGTCAGAACCAGTCCATAGCTGACTCTCTGGCGGGATCTGACTGTGTGTCTTTAGGATTGCTCAGAACCGACCCACAGCTGACCCTCTGGGGGGTTCCGACTGCCTGCCTTTAGGATGGTAGCACACCTTGTCACTGGGTCACCAGAACTCGTGTGTGTGTACTTCCCACTTGATAGTACGTAACAACTGTACCCCTGCTGTGGGTCAGTGCTGACATACGATACATAGAACAATACGGAAACTCTGGTGGCCTAGGGGGTAAGGAGTTGTGCGGCCAACTTCAAGTCACATAGTTTGAATCCATCAGCTGCTCCACAGGAGAAAGATGTGCAGTCTCCTTCCAGGCAATTTACAGCCTCTGAAAACCTGCTGGAGGGCCAGCTGAGTTGGTTCCTCTGAGTTGAATACATGAGTTAAATACATTAGTAACAGCAACAAAATGCCATTTCTCCAAAATTTTCATCAGCTCAAACACAACCAGCAATGGCACCCCCCCTTTGCTCCCCCACTTTCCTGTTAACTGGTGAACACGGGCTTCTCCAGCTGTGTATGCAGCCCTCATTCCGACAGGCCACACCTGCTTTGTGCTATTTAACCTGACAGACCAAACAACTTTCTCCAAAGGCCCTCCTGGTCAGCACCTTAGAGCAAGCCCACTTCAGCAACTTCAAATTACCGAAGTGCTTTTTTGTCAAAGCGGCTGATAAAAGACCTTGTCCTAGTTGTACTTTATACACTGTCATGATTTATGGCTTTTATGAAACCTGTCGATCAGGGACATAGAAATGACTGGTAAGTGTATAATGAAGGAGGGGTTTTGTTTGTTTAAAAATTTTTTTACTCTTTATTTTTTTCCCCTTTTCCAGAGAATGCATAGCACTTAAAAATACTGAAAAACAATTTAAAACATTGGACACATATGGTATCGTTTGGACAAAGAGTCTGTTACCTTTCTTTAAATTCAGTGTGGTCTGCAATTGCCTACAGGGGCTCACTTTCTGAACCCTTCTTTCATTCCCTGATCCCATCAGTGAAACATTTGGTACAGTCTCTGGTTCTAAAGCGCAGGCCAGGTGAGCTCATTGCGAGGAAGCAATTGCTGTGAGTGCGGGGACCCCGGGAGAAGGTGCCCAGTTACTCGTGGGGCCAGCGGCAGACGGACTAGGTTGTTGGGAATCCACAGGACACCACCCCACAGTGGTTGTGTTCATTTGTGGAGCTGCACACGCATCCTCGCCCTCCCTCCGCCTTGTTCTCCCACAGTAACAGACTTGCTTCTCCTGTCTAATCTTGAGCTGCCGTCAACTGGCTCTCATTCAGTTTAGTTTTTAAGGAGGGGGAGGCTCCTGGGGCCGGAAAAGCTCGCCAGCAGCCCCCCAAGGGGCCACCCCTGTCTGGAGCAAAGAGGGAAGAAAAATCAGACACATGGGAACAAACAACTCTGGGCAAACGGACTTCACCTTCCTCGACCCTGAGATTAGAGGAGCTGAGGCTGTCTGGCCACCACTTGACAGCTCCGGAAGGGATTGCAAGCGGGTCCAGGACAGAGTGAGTGATAAATGCAGGCAAAACCTCAAAACCACAAGAAGGCTAGGCTTACTGATCTTAGAGACTGGTGGAACCCCAAGACTATGGCCCCCGGCCACCCTCTGAGCTGCACACCCCTGTGCACAAGAGATATCACAAAGCTCAAGCCAGACCCCATCTAGGAGGGAAGTTTCTGTTTGGGTAAGATGACAACAGGCAGGCTATTTTTGGCTTAAGATTCAAAGATTATCTCAGTGCAATATTTTCTGGGGTTCATCTACCCTCCAAGACTACAGAATCTATAAGAATTGGAGATTCAGTTCCGCACAGTTCAGTCAGGGGAGCCAGGCACTATTCTGCTTCTTTCTTGGCAAAGGAGGCAGCTGTTCACAGAGGTAATTATCCACACATTTCCTATCCCACTTTCTCCTTCCTCTGCTGCTCCACAGAGACCAAACGTGGTCCTCTGACTGCCACTTGCAAGCTTTTAAGACCTCCTGCACTGCACAGCCACCTGGGAGACAGAAGGGGAGCACCAGACAGGCTACCATGACAATGAGCAGGAAAGCCCCAGGAACCGACCGCCTGAAATCTCTGCACCAGGGAACCAAGCCCTGAGCGCCGGGTTTCGTGCAACCGCAGGCCCAGCAGCTGTTTTTAAAGTATCCATCCCACAGTGTTTCACAAGTGTGTGTAACAGACAGAGGGAGGTCTGGAGCTGTAGGTCACAAGGTCACTGTGAGTCCTGAAATGACCACACCTAACACCATCAACAGTCACAATCAATGCAATTTCCCATCACAGCCCCTCCCCTCACCCCCTGCCCCACCTGTCCCGGTAACCAATGAACTTGAGTCTTTGAGACATGTGCCTTTTTGTGTGAGGTCAGACAGATGATACTTGTCCTTTGCAACAATCTCATTCAGCATAACGGTTGTAAGTTCCTTCCTTTGTCCTACAGGCCATGAAGTACTGTCTTCAGGTCAGTACAATTCCATCGGAACACACACGCTCCCAAGGCAGACAGTTCCGGTGTGGGGAGAGTCACATAAGCTGCTATCAAAATGATCCACTTTTATCTTGACGCTTAAGCTTTGCTGTCTAGTTTTAACATGGGTATTTCTAGGGAGAAATTTCAGCCTGGCCTACTTAAGATTTACAAGTTTAATTGACGCTTGATGCAAAGATCTGTAACTCCAAACTAAAGTTTGTACATTCTTTTGAGATATTCATCTCACACACACTCTCTCTCTCTCACACACACACTCTCTCTCTCTCTCTCCCCATATAAAAATAGACTGATGTTGTTTGGTGCCATTTGGTGTTGTTTGAAGATGATTAAAGGGAGCTCTATATGACATACTAGAACTGCCTCATAGGGGTTCGAAGACTGTGATCTTCAGGGAAGCAAACTGCCATGTATTTCTAAATCCTCAGAGTGACTGCTTCTGAACCACTGACTCGTCTTTCGGTTAGCAGCCAAGGACTGCCCCACCAAACCATCGGGGCTCCTCATCAGGCCGGGCGAGGAGGCAGCAGCGTGTGTAGGGAACACACCCTTGGACGGGGGATGGGGATGGGGAGCCAGCGGCCTCAGCTCAGCACCAGCTCCAGCTGAGACCCTGACTTCTCCCACTGACGCTGTGTGCTTAGGGCCGCTGCGCTCCACGGCTGTTCTGGTTCTGAGGACACATGACTTACTCTACAGCACCATGCCCCTGCTCTTATGGCACAGTGGTCATAAGGAACGTATTTCTGGCATATAACAGAGGAACATACCCTCACTCATACTTCATTCTCACAGAACAAATCAACTAATTAAAAAAAAAAATCGGAAAAGCTAAGAAGAGGAGGAAGTCTGTGGCTAAAAATACAATTCCATGGTCTCAAAGTGGATGGTCCTGAGCTTGTTATGAAACCGCTGTTAGGCGTTTCTTTCTCTGTGTACACAAAGTCCTCTCCTGTAATTCCCTTCTTTAAGTCAGTCTGTAAGGAGGTCACTTTTCTGAAATTCTCAGCCTATCAGAGAAGCTGAAGGGTATTTCATCAGTTGTCTCTACGGGGACGTTACTTCTGCCAAACTGGGATGAGTAGTGGAAGCTTGACATGAAGGAGTCGGGAGTCCGGCTGCAGTGACAGCCGTCTTTGGGCACAGCGTGACCAGGGCCAGCCGCATGGGTGTGGTAAGCATCATGGAAGGACTCTGGGGATGAGTGGTAGTGTCCGGCTGGCCCCGAGGCGGACGCAGAGCTCTGGAAGGGGCCGTTCGACATCAGGCAGGTTTGAAAGGATGTCTTCCTTCCCAAACCTCGGTGGATGTCCAACTTGGCAATGAGGGGCTTCCCCACGTTCACCTCCTGCTTCTCTTCCACCATCTCTTCCAGTCCTGAATACTGATATGACAAGCAGACCGTGAAGACGAGGTGCTCCTGGAAAACAGGAGACACAGGCTTTGTTATTTTTAACAAAGTAACTTCCAGGGAGTCAATTTCGACTCTCTATGGCCCATGTGGCAGGAGGAGTGCCTCCAGGGCTCCCCGCGCAGTCATCCTGGTGGCGCAGGCCACTTGGTGCTTCTCTTGCAGAGCCACCGTTCCTCAGTGAAAGCCCATGAACCTTCAAATACCACTGACTAGAACACACCACAAAACAACAAACACACTCCTCCCTTCCTCAGGTTCAAGGCTTCACTGAACTAAGGCCAGCTACATTTATCTTCCTTTTCCCTCTCCCAACACTAATCCTTAGAGATGAGCAGAATTGAGTGTCCACTAGTGGTAGTTAAATTCTAGAGCTCTGAAACTGTCTTCCTGCTGGATAGCAAACAAGATCTTTCCCAAGCAGTGGGGTGAGACAAATGTACCCTTCCCCTTGGCTCTGAGATGGGGAATCACCCTTTAAACAGAAAATCACATGGCCTAGCCACCCAGGTTCAAAGCAAAAGCAGAGAAACGTGGAGGAATGCTCCTGTGCGCCCACAGGTGGAGAAACAGAACGGAGCCAGATGGGCAAAGCCTGTGGTGGGAGGAGGCCTCGATCAGCTATGAGCTGGGGCTGCAGCGTTAGGCCCACTGTCCTTGTGACTGTCATTAGCGACTCACTTCTGTCCTTTAATGTTTCTGTTGGGCTGATAGAGTACACAGCCCCACAGCTAGGAATAAAAATGTATCACCCATGGAGAGCTAGAGTATCATTTGTAACACAGCTAGAAATGAAAACAAAATTAAAAGAGTAAGATCAACTTCTCTTATTAGGGTAGATGCCAGGTTTACTACATCTTGTCACAGATGTAGGAGAGGCCTCCCTGAGGAGGATGACGTTTAAAACCAGAACGTGCTCCATGCCCCACCTTCTCCAGCCCTGGGGAGCTGACAACGCCTACTCTCTCAGGCCAGTGCCAGGGACCGAACACACTATGGAGAGGCCCCGTGCGGTCCTAATGAAGACTGCTCAGGCCTCCTCCAAGCTGACGCCCCGTGACGCCGCACAGCGGGCCTTCCCACTTACGAGGTTCCCCATCAGAAGTGGGGAGCAGGATCTGCGCTCACCTTCAGCTTTTGCAGGGAGCTGAGCCGGGTGTACAGGCAGTGCTTGGGGAGGTCCATGGAGACCAAGTAGCTGCCGGTTTCCTCCGGGGTCCCCTTATTGGCATCTTTGGGATCAATGTCCAGGTCCTGTGATGATCACAGACAGTTAATTACAAAACCAACATAAAGAAGCAATACAGTCTACACCATGGATCCTCGTAGCAAACACCCTTCACTCTGAGCTTTGGCTTCAATAGGTTGACTCCATACCTGGGACTAAAGTTACAATGAAAAGAACATTCTATAGACTTTACTATGAATTGTTTTTATTTTGCAAAGTATCACACTAAATTTTACTTTTTAAGATGCACACAAAATAAACTCTGTATCTAAGTGCTTGGAAAGAAAAAAAAACAAACCAACTAGGTTTCAAGTCTTCGAACATAGCAAATAAGACTCAAAGACATTTAATTATGAATGGCTGTAACAGAAATGTATAGTTTTGGAGGAATTCTAAACCCAGTGCTAACAGCACTCAGCCCTGAGAGTGCAGAGTCCTGCCGTCTTTCTCCCAGAAACCTGTGAGCCTGGCCAAGCTTCCTTGTAAGGATCAGCCCTGTTAGTTCTCTCACAGAGAGCTCCGGGCTTCTCTGCAGTCATCACTTCCTGGAAGGGGACAAGGCACTGATGCGACTGGAGTGGTGAGGAGAACGATGGGCCTGGCCGAGTCCGCCCAGAGCTTCCACCTCTGCCTGATGCACAGGAGGCAGATCTGGTTTCATTTTCAGGCCAAGGCCAGACCGTTTGCTCTCACACAAAGCTCTGTCTCCCAGGAGCTTGAGAGAAGGACAGAATAACTATGTGGCTTTTTGGTCTCTTTTACTTCATGCTTATTTTCCAGTAGGTTATACCCTGACAGGAAGAGGGCACTACTCGTTGGTGTCTTCAGAAGCACACAAAAGAAATATTGTCTCTAGAAGCTTGGAGAGAAGAGAATTAGATTTCTGCTGTTCCAATATTCTAAGGAGCTCTGGTGGCCCAGTGGTAAGAAGCTGTGCTGCAAAGTTAAAGGCATGTGGTTTGAATCCACCAGCTGTTCCTTGGGAGAAGGATGGGCACTCTCTTCCTGTGTGACTAACTGCCTCTGAAAACCTGCCGGAGGGTCAGCTAAGGGTCAGTTCCGACTCGATGGCACACAACAATGATAAACTGAGACTCAGGTTGCTGCAATCATTTATTTTGGGAACAACAGTTTTTAAAAGGAAGTTATTGTTAATATATGTCTATACAGCACATTTCCCTCTCCATTTAATATCTTCTTTAATCTTTTTCGAATATCTTAGTAAAAGAAATTAATGACATCTTTCCTAAATAAATGTTATATAGGTATAAAATTGACAAGCTTAAAGTATTTTGGCAATTAGTTTTCCAAAGTTATGACTGTTGTTAATAAAATGCTGATGCGTGTGTATTTCAGCTATGTTTACCATCAACGTTAACTTACTCATCAGTAAGTGAGGACTTATCATTGCATCCTCCAAGAAAGAAGGGGGACTTACGAGTGGAAAATCGGTGACGTAGGCGTCGCACATTACTATCTCGGGCGGTCTGTGGACTATGCTTGTGTAGATTATCATGACATTGGAAAACTCAGCTGCAAACCCGAGCTGAATCTCAACACCACACTGAAACTTAAGACACATACTTTCCGGAAGTTCTGAAACAAGAGAGTAAGAACAACTTATTTACGGAAAGAGAGCTTGGTACTTTTTCTGATGATTGTTGGGTGCTGTGAGGATTCAGGCTCGTGGCAAACCCATGACACGGAGGAAAATGCCCTTACGGACCCTCCCAAGCGGCTTTCCCCATTTTACAGACAAAATGTTTATTAATGGTAGAGACAGGACAAAAAGAAGGCCTCTAATTGTTAAAACAGTGCACAGGCCTTCGTACAGGAAGATCTAAGAGAGTGCTTATTACCCAGGTCAAGAACAACGGGAGAATTTAAAACTGACCACAATTATAGCAACAATGAAATGATAGGATGAATAATTTAATATTGAACACCTGAATATACGTAACACTGAACAGATCAGTGTAATATGTATAATTGGAACATTTGTTTAGCATGAAGATTGTCCACTAGGCCCAAATACTTCCCCTACACAATGAGGAGAGTTGTTTATAGAGCAGGAGGAGACTTTACCACTTGACGTCAAGCAGAGCAGAGGAGAGGAGGGCAGACGTACCGTGTGCCTTGGCCCACTGCAGATTCCTCACCAGTGATTCCGCGGTGCACGCCGTGCCCTGGATTGGGTCAGTGAGGGCTCTCTTTTCAGATAAGCTACTTCGGATCTCTAGAGCTTGCTTGCCCTTGGTAAGGTGACACTTTCCCATATCTACAAGAGACCAGGTTATTAGGTATTAGTGTCGAGGCTACCAATCCTTTACTTGTGGTTCAAATATTAGGCCAAGACTTCTCCACTAACGAGGTTACAGCCTCCATGCTGTTTGTTCACTCAGCAAACATACACTGAACACCGACCGTGAGGTGGATGTAGTTTTAGATGCGGGAAATCCATCACTGAACAGAGAAATAGATATATGGGCTCCCCGCCCACTACCAAAAGCCCCTGTTAGCTTTTGAGTTTTTAAAAAAGTCTAGTAAAAATCTCTTGATGGGGGTGGGGTGGTGGTGAAGGAAATGGAAAGGATCTGTGTGGAAAGCAATGCATTTGAACTTTGTAAATAAATCAGAATAAAATTTTTTAAAAAATTAAGAAAAAAAAAATCCCCAAACTCCTAATGTCCTAAGGTCTTGAAATTCACAAAGAGCTGAAAGTATCTTTCTCTACCAGAAGAGCTGTCTTCATAATATCATGTCCACATTTGGTTTAGAAATATTTTCAATTAACAATCATATATTTGAAAAGCATTAAAACATTAGGCAATAATTCTTCCCATATTTATTATCGTGGCATTTAGAGTTCAGAACTGGTCAGCACTTTAGAGAACACCGCTGAGTATTCTGCAGCAACATTCATACAAAACGTAACGTAAGATCAATTTTACATTCCATAATTAAATGGGTTAAAAGTTATATTAAATTTTTTAAGAACACAGAAAAGCTCAGAAAGTTATCACTGAAACTCAGACCAAGTAGGTGTGGAGTAAATGTGAAACCAAGTAGAAACATTTCAGTATATAATGGAGGTAGAGACTGGGGAAGCCCCAAGACTGTGGCCTGAATCACCCTTAGAACACAGACCAAAACTCACACCTGTGACTCAACTTCCAGCCGAAGAAAGGGAAGTCTTTGAGGTGAACAATAACATTCACTTCCTCGAATAATCAACCGAGCAACAGGGCAGTACGGAGCTAGGGATAGAGCTTAGAAGGCAGGAATGGACAGACAGAAGGACTAATGGAAACGAGAATCAAAGGAAGAAGTGGGGAGAGTGTGGTTACAATGTGGGTATTATAATGAATGCCATAAAACAAAACATGTCTAAGTGGGTGAATGGAAAACCAGTTAGCTGGGTAAACTTTTACTCAAATCACAATGAAGAGAAAGAAGAAAAGAACTGACAGTCTGAAGGTTTCTTTTTAAAGCAATAGAACTTTTTTCCCAAATGAGAGCTCCAAAAGCAAGCAGCCCAACGTGAGGGAGAAAAGGAGAAGTCTTTGGTTGAGTCTATGGAGGAGGGAGGAGCCCGCAGTCACGGCAAACAGGAAAGTGCTTAGGTCAGGTGGCCTCGGCCAGAGAGCTGCACTGAGGAAAACATGACACTAAGCAAATGTGACCCACAGCTGTTAGGAGGCACCTGACCTTATACTCAAACTGCCCTCGGCAACATCCCATTTCAGGCGGGCTGGTGTGTTAGAGAGCTGCCTTCTCTGCGGGGTGACTTATAACCTGGCATTTCTGAATGGACACAGCAGTCTGCTGATACGTTCAGTCCTCACTGAGGACCTGACGGCTGGGGCAGGCACCAGGCAGGGAAACGGGAGGCAGGGCTGACGGCTTCTAGGATCATGGCCTTCCAACAGGGAGAATCTTAAAACTCTTGGCTTAGATTCATCAAGGGAAAACAAGCAAACAAAAACAAACCCCATAAAAGAGAACAGAACCCAGCTTCACTGAAGTCTCCGAAATTTCCATGGTTTTCTGTCTCTGATGTTGGGAGGCTGCTTACTGGGCAAACATTTTGCAGACAAGTACCCTGGGCGGCCCCACAGGCTAACTAAGGAAGACGGGGCTCGGAGGAGCAGCCCTGCTTGTTCACAGCCGTGCCGGGCCTGCCCTGCAGCCTAAGGGTGCTGCACAGACGGCACCCCAAATCCACAGGGAAGGAAGGAAGCAAGCAGTTAACCACAGAAGTGCTGCTCCTGAACACGGTGGGAGGAATGCACTGCTTTTATAAAAGAAATGCTAATTCCAAACCTCACACATGACAGACAGGATGAAACAGAACCGAATGGGACCCAAAGAATGTCCTCTAGGGTTTCAAAATGTCCTTCCCAGTTCAGTCATGGGCAAAACTGGGAGAGGAGAATCCTGAATTGTAAAAGGTGGACGATTTGGAATGATAATTGATAACCAGAATGGGATAACAATTGTGGGTTGATACCCTTTGGAAAATTGGATCGCCCTCTTAGGATACCAGGGCCCTGAGTGTTGCCTAGCAACCCAATCTCTTGCTTGACCGTCATAAACCAAGATGGTACCTGACAGGGCCACTGTGAAGGGCTGTCCCTCTCCATGGTCCTGACCACAATCTCCTGCCCGGAGGAGCACTCCACCTCCCCCAGGGCTGAGGCTTGTAGTTGTGCCCACTCTGGCTATGGCACTAGTATACCCGCATGGCACAGGCCTGGGTCTGCTCCAATTCTGCTGGGTGGGGCGTGACTGACTGCAGTGGTCTGCGGTCATGGATGGGCCGTGACCGAAACATCCAGGTCTGTGGTCCTGGATGGGCCGTGACTGCAGTGGTCTGTGGTCCTGGATGGGCCGTGACTGCAGTGGTCTGTGGTCCTGGATGGGCCGTGACTGCAGTGGTCTGCGGTCTTGGTTTTCTCTCCCCTCTTTTGGGTAACTTTCTCTATTTTCTGTTTTTACCTTCTGCAACTTCATCCAGTAACACAGTGATTTTCTTGTCTTCTAATAATCTGTCTTTCAAGAACTTCATGAAGATCCCATTTGCAAGGCCAGAATGCTGGATTTCAAAAGCTTCTGCTCCTTGACACCTTAAAATACAGTAAAAGAAATGTTTAAAAAAGCAGACAGCTGCCACATGACGAGAAGAGGAGCTTCCATAAACCTGAGGCATCTCTCCTCTACCGCCGGCATCCCCGGTGGAAGGAGGACTCTTTGGGCAGGAGCATGTGCTTTGGTGGTACGAAGACACCAGGAGAGTAAGCGACATGGTCAAGCACTTAACATTTTTCTACCAAGATGACCAAGGAGGCAAGCTTATGCCTGCTGTTGTCAGTCGCCATCACGTCGATTCTGACTCACAGCGACCCCATGTCAAAGGTTATTTCTAGGTCTCCTGATCTACCATAAAAAAAGGGAGTCCTCCAGGAGTAAAGGGATCTTTCACATGAAGCTTCTTACGTGGCGTATCCAAACACGATATTGGCAGTGACTTTCAGAGCATCCAAGATTGGAATGGTGTCATCATAGTCATTTCTAGTGGGAGGAAAAAGGGAGAAGGGAAGAGACAAATATGGACAATGAAATGCAAACTTTTTAAAAGAACACAAATGATAGTGTACAGGTACTTCCCAGGTTTTGGACAAGACCTGTTGTAAAGTGTGTCTCTGAGATGTGCAGATGAGATGGAACAGGTACATGGGTTTTTCATTCATTCTTACTTGAGAGCAAGAAAATGCTCAAAGCCTTTACAACGATCTCAGAGCTACCTGAGCATCAAGTAAAGGTGATGGCGGGGAAGAATGTGATGCAAGTAGTCAACTCAACGGCACACAACAACAGCAACACCACCAACAGGGGTTGGTCGGTTCCAGCATTTCAAAGCAAACACAATATAAATCACATTCTGTGAATCAGAGACTGCCTATAATGAAAAACATAATTTAATGCTCTTCCAGTATGCAGACTTAAAAATGACAGTTTAAATTATCTACCTCGCTAAAGACTTCTGAGACAGAGGACAGTCACATTTTTTTTAGCTTTAGAAACAGAACTGGAATTGACCTCCAGTGTTAAATTCTGACGGGCAATAGAGTACAATAAACCTGTGAAACCCCCATGGAGTGATCCTTGGTCCTGTTCCTTAGTGACATGATGGCAGCCAGCTGCGACCCAACTCTACAACTTAGCCGCTTCCCCTAAGTGTTCCCCATCTGCAAGACAGTTCCCAGGGTGCCGGGGCCTGTCCTGTCAGCTCCCCAAGAATGGGTGGAGTAATCCCTGGAGCCATCTATAGGCTTTTTGAGAGTTAAAACCTTTTCTAGTGGGAGAAAATCTCCACACGCCTTGGTGTTCTGCCTTTGTTTACAGCAAATAGGAAAAAAAAGCTAAAACTAACTAAATATGCAATGAGGAGTTACATTTGTTCTCTGGTTTACCTTCTGACTGGTTTGAATCAAGAATCTAAGCTTTATAACCTCAAGGGCTCACTTTCTTCCACAGACTTGACTTACAAAAAATTCTTCCTTTTCTTCTAATATTTTTATTGGTTTGCATACAGTAATTCATATACACTGTGTTTCAGGCATGTGCATTGTTTTATGCAATCGTTCATATACACTGTATTTTATGTAATTACTAGTGACCTATGCCTGTTGTTACCCCGTCTTTTTGGGTCCCCGCTGAATCTTTCCTATTCCTTCATTCCCCCATCCACCCACTAACTGCTGCTATTCTCGTGATCTCCCTCCTTCCCCTTTTTCTGCCTCTTCTCCCATTTCCCTTTCAAACATTTATACACATCCTGTTCAGGTATCCCTCTGTTTTTACAATGATGGTCTTAAGCAGTATTTGTCCTCACGAGACCGAGTTATTTCACTGAACATGATGCTCTCTAGATGGTCCCGTGTTACAGAATGAACTCCTAACGGCTGACATTTAACTAACTGAAACACTCTCTGTTAGTTAGGAGAGATGGGGAGCCTCACCTTTTTCGACACATATCTAACAGGAACACGTTGAGACCCGTTTCTTTTTCTTGCATCAGTTTCAGTATGTTCTGCACACAGAGACAATTTTCTGATCTGTATGGATTTGGAGCATCAACAGGCACCATAAAGCTGTTTCCAAAGTTTTCATAACCATGCCCTGCATAATAGAGCAATCCTGAAAAGAGGGAGAAAAAACCCACACATGATTCTATCATTATCCTCTGAACGTAATGCACACTTATGACAAAAGCCAGGATTTTACTTTCAGGTTGACACAAGCACAGTTAAGAAATACCTCATGGCAGGGGAGCGAACAGGTGGGGAGGGCTGGGCAGGGAGAAAAGTGCAGCAATGGATGAATGGAAATCCAAAATCTCTGTAAATGTTTATTAAAATTAATAAGAAAGAAAAAAAGAAATACCCAATGGCAAAGGCAGCCAATGTGAACTTCATTTGCATGTAAAATTATCTTGGCAATTGTCAATGTAAGTGATGCATTTTTACATCAATAGCAAGATGTTATTCTGAAGTACATTTCAATTATTAAAGCAATCCATTTGCAACCAGTGGTTTACTATGCAATGCAGCTTTCCTTCCTGCTGTGTAAGAAGGGACAGTGGCTGGGAATTCTTTGCCGTCTCATTTGTTCCTCCATGAAACTGGGGTTTCCTGCCCTCCCAGCAGAGAAGGAGCCCAGGAAGTGTATAATGGATGAGATATGAATACCATTCAGATGAGTAATACCTGCAGTACCAAGTATAAAGAACTTCTCAGGTATTTCCATACGATATTACTAAGGGCTTAAAAATATGAATAAATATTTTCTAAGCAGAGAACAAAATATGGAATACTGTTTCCTCTTTTATTATACTAGTTTATTTACAAAATTCCTCTTTTTATATGATATAAATACCATTCATTTTCTACCAAGGGTCTCTTGAATTAGTAACCCAAAATCTGAGTTAATACTGAAACTCAAGAGAAGAATTACATTTTTTACTAAGAAATGATACTGCAGCAACCAATTCTCTGAAAAGAAGCTGGTTTAGGCTGAAAAACACCGAAAGTCAGAGCCATCAGTGTGGGTAGACTGCCTGACAGAAATCGGTGTGGAGACACGTCCCTGTGGCCAGCAGTCTCGAGAGCCCAGGAATGTTGGTCTCTTGCTGTTCTGAACACCATGACTTCTCTTGTGGTGTTTTAAGAGCAGTCAGTGACATTTAAATAGAGAAAGCAAAGGAGAATCCACTGTAGTGACGTCCTTCATTCCCAGAAGAGAACGTGGATTCCAGCACTTAATAGATTCCATGTGGCCCCAGGGGGCAGGACTGAGGCCTTTATTTCTTCTAAACTTTATATAATTGAGATATTTTAGGCAAAGAGACAAAATAGTTGTTGTCAGGTGCCGTTGAGCTGACGCTGACTCACTCTGACCCTATGAACAAGACCAGAAGCTTGCCCCATCCTGAGACATCCTCACAACCTCTGTCATGCTAGAGCCCTTTCTTAGTCATTGTTTCACCTCCCTTCGGGTCTTCTCTTTCAACGATCTTGTCTTTCTCAGCAGATGTCTTTGCACTGTACTACCAGGGAGCCTTTGTTAAAAGGAGCGTGGATATAAAACAAAATATGTATGGTTTAATGATAAATGAAAATGTTTTGTAAACGATTTCTCAAATCATAATAGAACAGAAAAAGAAAAAAAATGAAGCGTGGATAATGAGAAAAATTCTTTAAAGAGGGAAATGTGGAATCTGCAATGGTTATATACATTTAATGTTACTGAGTCAGTCTTAGAGAGTATAGAGAAAAAAAGCGAAGAGTATATACACATCTCACCATATACACCTCTGTCTAAAAGGAGCAGGAACTCGTCGACAGCATTGCGCATTTCAGACTCAGTGAGGTCCAGCAGGGAAACCACTTTGAAATCCAGCTGTCTCAGCAAGTTGGTCAGTTCATACACGTCCACCAAAGGGGCTTTAAGCTTGGGGTGCCCCCAGTAGTTCATATTTCCAATCAGAAGAGCAACTTTGTCCTTGGCTGTTGAAAACCAAAAGGACAGTAAAGATTACCATAAAACCCCACAGAAAAGGATTACTATCTTACAAAGGATGCACACAGACAGTATTTCCTTATTACGTAATGTAGCAGATCAATGATCTGAAGAATAAGAGGCTAATTACGCAAGTTTCTAAAATTAAACTACTGTTCTTGAGAATCAGGCAACAGGAAGAAGTTGAACGTGAAGCAAGCTTATAGCTAATAGTAAATTAATACTTTTCTTGAATTACAACAAAAACAAGATTTTGAAGCAAATTTAAATAGATGTTTGAGACTGGGTTCTCATCATATTAGGTTCTAGTTCACTGACAATGGAAGATGCTAAAAAAATTCAAAGAGGTAGCAGCAAGAGTGCAGAGCAGATTATCCGAGAGGCTGGGCTCTGTGAGGAGAAGCGTGGCGTTAGGATTGGTGGACGATCTATCAACAATCTGCGTTATGCAGATGACACAACCCTGCTCGCTGAAACTGAGGACTTCATGCACTTACTGCAGAGGGTCAAGGACTGCAGCCTTCACTATGGACTGAGGCTAAATGTCAAGAAGACAAAAATTCTCACCACTGGACCAATCATCAGGATGGATGGTGAAGAGATTGAGATTGTTCACAGCTTCAGTTTGCTCGGCTCCACGGTCAACACTCTTGGCACCAGTAGCCAGGAAATAAAAAAACGTATTGCGATGGGAAAGTCTGCGGTTAGGAACCTCTCTAAAGTACTCAAGAGCAACGGTGTCTCTCTGGATACTAAAGTGCGCCTGATATAGGCCATAGTTTTTGCAATCGCTTGTTACACATCAGAGAGTTGGACAATGACTAGGGAGGATAGAAGAATTGATGCCTTTGAGCTGTGGTGCTGGAGCAGAGTATTGAATGTACCATGGACTGCCAAGAAAATAAACAGATTCATCCTAGAGAGGGTTAAACCAGGCTGCTCCTTGGAGGCAAGGATTCTGGGGCTTCGTCTGACATACTTTGGACATGTTGTAAGGAGAGACAGGTCTTTAGAGAGGGACGTCATGCTGGGTAGAGTAGAGGGACAGTGCAGAAGGGGAAGACCCTCTATGAGGTGGATTGATTCAGTGACTGGGGTAATCGGGATGGGTGTGTCAGAGGCAGTGCGATTGGCGCAGGACAGAGCAGAGTTTAGGGCTGTTGTACATAGAGTCGCAAACGACTCAACGGCACATAACAACAACAGCAGCAGCAAGAAGGGCAGGGACAGGAAGAATTCCCATCAGAGTGAGACGGGCTGCCAGAGGGGAGAGGAAGCTGCTTGGGAGGCACTGTCCTTTCTGCTCTTTGCAGCAGCCCATGGCTGCTAACTCCAACTCGGCGAGATCCACCGCAAACAAGAGTGCACCCCTTCCCCGCCTGCCCCACCCTCACAATCTCTGCCGTGCGGAAGGCCACATTACAGCCACTGTGTCAACGCAGCTCATCGAGAGCCTTCCTCGCTTTCACTGACCTCTACTTTTCCATTCATGGGGTTCTTTTCCAAGGACTGTCCCTTCCTGAGAACATGACCAACGTATGTGAAATGAAGCCTTCCCATTCTCCCTGCTACGAAGCACGCTGGCTGTGCCGTCCTGGTGAGACGTGGGGTCTGTAGACACTCGGCAGTTCGTTTTCTGACCTTGGTGGATGGAGCCCGCTCAAAGGTTGTGTGTTCTGACACAGTTGTTAGGTGCCGTCCACCACAACTCATAGGGAATCTTCAAACAACTCCTGTGAACTGTGACCTGTCCCACCCCTCCTCAATCATGCCGGAGCCCTCTGCCACAGTCAGTGTCAATCCAGCTTGTTGCGGGTCTTTCTCTGACCTCTTCACCTTTCCCAGCACGATGTCTTCTTCCAAGGACTGGCCCTCCTGACAACATCCCTGAAATGGGTGAGAGGATGTTTCGTCCTCCTTGCCTCTAAGGGGCACCCTGATTGCACTTCCTCCAGGAGAGAGAAAGGGCAGAAAAATGCCCCACTTTCACTGCTGTCCTGAAATCAGCCGGCTTAATCAGGAATGTAGCCTGTCCAAAAAAGTTATGAAGGGTGGCCATAACTCAGTGCAGAGGTCTTCAAAACTGTACCTTTGCTAGCTTGGAAGGGGCCAAAAGGTCCAAAGACTCAAGCCCACCCCACGACCAAAGTTTTCTCTTTGTTTTGGTGAGAAGTGGTGGTGATGACAAAAGGTGACAAGAGGAAGGGGCAGTGTAGACAGCGTAGCGAGTGCCTGACAGGGCATGGAGAGTACAGGTCACCAGGCCACCACCTTCCACACAGTCCAGACCAGGGCAGCGGGCAGGGCCGCCTGTCACAATGTGCTGGGAAGGGTTTATGTATAAATTATGATGAGTGCTACTCTTATGAAATGGGAATGAGCAACAATTATCACTATTGCTGTGATATTAGCTATGCGTAATACGATTTGAGATGTTCTGAATTATTAAGAGGAAGAAACTTCACCAAAATTCTCTGAACTTTCCAATAAAAGTCACTCCAAGCCCCATACAAATGATAATATCTTTTATATATATACATATATATAAAATCATTTATCAAGACAACGTAATCCACTGGGAGCCCTAGGTCTGCTGACGACTGAAAAGCTGATGGTTTGAACCTACCTAGACCCCCCCCAGCGAGATGGACTGTGAGGCAGTGGGCTCGAGTGTGTCAGAGATGAGGAGGAGGATGGCACAGGGCTCAGAGCTGCCGTTCATAGGGTCGCCATGAGTCATACTTGACTCAACGGCACCTAACAACAACCACAACAACAGAGGCTCTGCAGGAAGACCTGGCTATTTGCTCTGGTAAAGATCACAGCCTAGAAGACCCTAGGGGCCAATTCCACTGTCACACAGTTGTTAAGTGCCATCAAGTCGCAGGTGACTCATAGCGACCCTATGAAGGAGAGTCCTTGACACTTGGGTGTCTCTTATCCTCTCTCCAGGTTCATAGGGTTTCCAGAGGCAAAATATTATGGAAGTGGATGCCACTCCTCCTTCCACACTTGTTTTAATCAGGGAGCTCCACCCCACTCTCTGTCTGCATTGGGTAGCCAACCATTAACTCATTTGACACATCAGTGTCACAGTGTTCAGCCTCACAGCAACCACAAGTGACAGCTGTATGGCAACTTGTACACCAGGGCTACATGACCTAGAGGAATGTCTGAACAAAAACAACTCTGTCACACAGAGTCACTATAAATTGGAACTGACTTGACAGCAATCACAATAGAGTGTCATTTATATTCATGGTATTCACTCTGAGAAATGCAGGGAATCCTCAGTTAGGTTCAGGAATCACTAAGGCACAATGATTAAACACCAGGCTGTTAACCAAAAGGCTGGCGGTTCACACTCACTCAGAAGCTCTGTGGGAGACCAGGAGGTGGGCTCCGTGAGGACTCCAGCCTAGAGGGCCACGCTGGGCAGTTCTAACCCATCACTGGGGTCTCGGGGAGTCAGCACCAATTCACAGACACCTCGTAACAGCATCTACAGCCGGCGTCTATGGAAGCTCAGACACAGAGTTTCTACTAAACCGCCTTTGACTATCCTCACTGAAAAAATTAAGTGTTCTGGATGAATTTCAATAGGAAGCAGCAAATATATTTCTGCTCTTAAAATGGTCCTCCAGGGGTGGGGGTAAGGCTGAGAAAAACTGGATGAAATATGTTTATGGCATTGAAGTCTATGGGGGAGAGAATATTTAAAAGTATTATATTTTAGGGCATTATGTTTATCGTAGGAGTATGCAATGAGGGTTGCAGAGTGGATTATATTTGGGGGT